AAACCCTCTTCGAATTATTAAGGCCTTCACATTAATCCTCTTAAGAGACCGCGGGGTCAGAATTTGGGAGATTTACGGTACCCGAGGCAAATTTGACAAACCAAAACCCTAAACCCTAAACCCTAAACCCTAAACCCTAAACCCAAAACCTTGCACCCTGAAGAATTAGGGTTTTAGGGTTTGGGGGTTCTAGGAATTCGGGTTTTAGGGTTTTGGGGTTTTAGGGTTTTGGGTTTTAGGGTTTTGGGTTTAGGGTTTTGGGTTTCAGGCTGTTGGGTATAGGGTTTCGGGTTTAGGGTTTCTAGATGCACCAAGGTTGGATGAATATGTCAACAACTCCAACAACGTGAATAGCTCTGCCATCCAGTGACCTTGGCCGAAGGTGATCGGTACAGGGATCTTGAAACTTAGGGGGGTTTAGGAAGTGTTATGTTGCTGTTGGTTTTTTAGGTTTGGAGTTTTAGGGTCTTTTTTGTGTGTTTGGTATTTGGGGTTGAGCCGTATATTTCAGGGCTTAGAGTTCAGGATTTAGGGCCTAGGGTTCAGGGTACATGTGCTGTAAACCCTCGACTCCTGGACCCTGGTCCATCAGGCGGCGTAGCACAACTCCAACAACCCCCCCGTCACAAACGCCCCAGGCACAACGGCCTCGCTTGTCTCCATAGTTTAGGGTCAGAGTATTTTATAGAATTTATCCGCGTATTTTGCACTTGAGCATGGCTTCACCGACCTGCGTGTGGATGGTAGTAACTACATGTAATTACTGATTGAAAGCTGATTGACGAGGCGCACTCTGGGTGTGGTTCGAGATAAACCTTCTTACATACAGCTTTGGGATCTTGGTTCATGGTAGCAAAGGGCATGCACTAGTTCGGAATAAGTTTATGCAGGATCTTCTGTTGGGATGTACATGATGTGGGAAACAAGTGCCACTGATCACAGAAGCTCCCATTGGCCTGTCGTTTACGCCGTTTACGCCGAAAACAACTGGGCTGGCCATCTCAACAATCCCAGATGCGCGCCTTTCCCCCGTAGCTTGACAATATTGGGAATCTACCTGGGTACTGGTACACCCCGAACCCCATCAAAATCTCGACACGGCCCTCTAAACACCCCGTTCTACAAATCCTAAAGTGGGGTTTCCGAAAATCTAGTACCCTAAATAATAGGATCCCTATTATAAGGACCCCCAAATAAGGTACCCCGAATTTTCGGAAACTCCCAAATTGTAAAAAACCACCGCAAATATTCGAACTCCAGGCCCGGATCTCTGCAGCCTCAACGTGCACCAGTCCTTTGGAAAGCAAAGAACCAAAAAGGTAATCCTCATCGCAACAATCTCAAGCCCCTTTAGGGAAAGAACTAAACCCTAAACCCTAAACCCTAAACCCTAAACCCTAAACCCTAAACCCTAAACCCTAAACCCTAAACCCTAAACCCTAAACCCTAAACCCTACACTAAAAAGTTGAGAAAACCTCTCAACAGCGAAAAGCCAAGAGGTACCTGATGCTGGCAACCAGCATGGCCGAGAAGCTCGCCCAGTCCTTCGAGTCCGGTGCCACCATGCCTTGGCCCCATTGGGTTTAGGGTTTAGGGTTTAGGGTTTAGGGGTTTGTGTTATGTCCCTAATATGATAATAGAGGGATCTTGATAATCAGAATAGGGTTTTGGGGACCTTTATGGCCCCAGTCAGTACAAGGGCTTCGGGTTTAGGGTTGGGGTTAGGGTTTGTGATATGTCCCTAAACCCTAAACCCTACACCCTGAACCCTAAACCCTAAAAGCCCTATAATTACTAAACCCTAACTACTATACCCTAAACCCTGAAACCTAAACCCTAAACCCCAAATCCTAAACCCTAGTTACTAAACCCTAAACCCCGAACCCTAGACCCTGAACCCTAAACCCTCAACCCCAAATCCTAAACCCTAATTACTAAACCCTAAACCCTAAACCTCGAACCCTAAACCCTAAACCCCAAATCCTACACCCTAATTACTAAACCCTAAACCCCGAACCCTAGACCCTGAACCCTAAACCTTAAACCCTAAACCCCAAATCCTAAACCCTAATTACTAAACCCTGAACCCCGAACCCTAAACCCTAAACCCTAAACCCCTAAACCGCTAAACCGCTAAACCCCCAACTCAACCCCAAACCCTAAACCCCTAAACCCTAAAGCCTAAACCCTAAACCCCTAGACTCCTAAACCCCTAAACCCCAAATCCTAAACCCTAATTACAAAAGCCTAAACCCCGAACCCTAAAACCTGAACCCTAAACCCTAAACCCTAAACGCCAAGTCCTAAAACCTAATTCCCTCACCCTAAACCCCGAACCCTAAACCCCGAACCCTAAACCCTGAACCCTCAACCCTAAACCCTAAACGCCAAATCCTAAACCCTAATTCCCTCACCCTAAACCCCGAACCCTAAACCCCGAACCCTAAACCCTGAATCCTAAACCCCAAACCCTAAACGCCAAATCCTAAAGCTTGGGGGATCCTGGAAGCTCCGACTCCTGGGGGAAGAAGCATGGGGGAAGGGGGAAGGGCAGGGGCAAAACGGATTGTAAAGATGGCGGATCCACAGGGTTTCTTAGGGTCTTCATTCAGAAGATTTATGGCAGGGTACACCCTATAAACCCTAAACCCTAAATCCTATACGCCGAAGAGATACATAGCATTTAGTTTCCTTTAGCCTTTTCGGCTTTATTGGAAGGGCGCAAGATGGTTTGCCGCCTCCCCCGAGCCTTCAACCTTTCAGCCTGTACTTATAACTTAGAGCTCCTCAACACAAACCTGAGATGAGAATGTTAATGTAGGGGCCTAGGGTTTAGGGTTTTGGGTTTAGGGTTTAGGGTTTAAGGTTTAGGGCTCAGGGTTTAGGGCTTACTTGTAGTCTCCATTGTAGTTCCTTTTTGGGGATACCTCCTAAACTCCTTACTTAAACCAAAAAAGCAGCTACAATGGAGACTATAGGTATACCCGCACATGCAACCTTCAACCCTAAGCTGGCTTGAGGAAGAGAACTTGCAGCGCCTTCCAGCGCGTGCGTATTTTTTGCGGATTTCCAAGGCTCGAAGACGGGAAGCTGGAAATCTTCAGCTACCAGCTGCCAAGTGCTACGGCGGAAGCCTGCGTCGATTCGCCTTGTGCCACTAGTGGCAACCCAAGGACGGACATGGAATTGGTGCACTCGGCCGTCCAGGCGGCCGCCGATGCGACCGCGGCCCGCTGCACTGACAATCACAAAATGGCCCAAGCCTGCGTGAAGCAGAACCTTGCAAATTGCCATCATCTTCCACTGCCCTGAGGGGCGCGCTGAGAGCGCTTGATGTTGTTGATGTCCAGAAACTTCCCGTCTTTGTACCCTCAACCCTCAACCTTAACCTCCCGTCTTTGTACCCTCAACCCTCAAACCCTAAATTGCCTCTATACCCTGAAGCTGACCCCATTCCAATTCGGAGGCAGGAGGGCTTTCCGTAGGTCGAAGGCTTCTTTGGATACTTAGGGGTCTGAATGGTTAGAAGAGGGGGACCCTTTTAAGGGGTACTTCAAGGGCTCTCTAAGGGATCTATGATACACAGTCGGGGCCTTCATATGTGTAATTATGGAGTTTTGGGGGGGCACACGTCACGGTTCATTAGTATAGGGAATGTAAGGGATTAATATCGCTAAATATCCAGGCTTCTGACATCTACGGTACCTGAGAAGGACATGGCCTCGCAAAGCGGCTTATAGCTTGTATGTCATAGTGTAGACTTTACAGATTACATGAAGCCCCTAAACCCTAAACCCTAAGCCCTAACCCTAAGCCCTAACCCTAAGCCCTAAACCCTAAGCCCCTAAACCATGAAGCTGCCTAAACTAGGCTGCCAACATTTGGGAGAGTGTGGGGGCTTGTCTAAAATGGGGTTTAGGGTTCAGGTAAAGGATCTCCGATTGAGGGTTTAGGGTTTCGGGTTGAGGGTTTAGGGTTCAGGGTTCAGGGTTTGGGGTTTAGGGTTTAGGGTTATAGGAAGCTTTCTGGCTCGCATTGTCAGCCCTTACACAAAGATCCCGCAAACCTCGAACCGGAGCCGTCCAGGTTTAAGGTTCATTAGTACGATATGACCCGAACAGTGAGCTCTTAACCCCGAACCTTGTACTTCCCAAAACATCACCCCGAAAACCACCAAATCTTTTATACGAAAACGCGCCCGAAACCCAAGACAACCCCACCTCTTCCTTTGCAAATCCCGTTCTATCCAGGAAGCCTTTAACTTTCTCTCTGAGATGCTTAATCCCTCAGTCTTAAGCTCAGACCCACCCTACACCCCCAAACCCCATGCCCGAGGCCCCGAACCTACATCTCCCTCTAAGCCCTCCATCCCTTGCATACCTCCCATCCTGGTTCAACCCTGGCCCTACCCCTGAACCCTAGGTCACAAACTTTAAACCCTAAGCCCCCTAATGTAGGGCCTTAATAATTTGAATAGGGTTATAATCAGGAACCCCCCAAACCCTATTCCAATTATTAAGGCCCCTACATTATAGCCTATACCCTACTAAGAAGATCATGGGACTTAGTAAGTAAGGTTAAAAGTCCCCTAATTGCGGTTATAAGTATAGTTACCTTAGTTATAACCCTACTTACTAAGTCCCATGATCCTTTAAGTACGAAACCCTAAACCCTAAACCCTAAACCCTAAACCCTAAACCCTACTTCCTAAGTCCCATGATCCTTTAAGTACGTCCCAAACCTTCTCTGAGGATCGCTGACGATCCGACGCTCTTTCCGGGTGCTGTGCTCGGGGCGGCTCAGGGTCGGAATAGGAGCAGGGCTTTAGGGCTTTAGGGTTTGAGGGTTTGAGGGCTTTAGGGTTTTAGGGTTTTAGAGTTTTTAGGGTTTTAGAGTTTTAGGGCTTTAGGGCTTTAGGGTTTAGGGTTTAGGGTTTAGGGTTTAGGGTTTAGGTTGGAGCATGTGGCTCTGTCCTTCCCAGGCTCGCAAAGCGCACCGTAAGTCCTACATCCTCAATACTTAGCGACTTAGGGTCGATGGCTTAGATACTTAACCATTTAGGGTCTAGGGTTTAGATACTTAACCATTTAGGGTTTAGGGTTTAGATACGTAACCATTTAAGGTTTAGGGTTTAGTGCGAATTTTCCGCCGGAGCTTGTAAAAACACCCGAAGCCCTGCACCTTACAAGCCTGAAGCCTAGACACTACCTGAAGGGTGGTAGGGTGACATTGTTAATGTAATGTAACTCGTTTCACAAAAGCCTCAACAGTTAAGCTCATCAGCCACAAAGACTGGTTTAGCACTATAGTGCCTGATAGTAAGATTTTTCTCCGACCCACATGTATCACACCGCAGCAAGCCCTGCAAAAACCTAGATATCCCCATCCTGAACTTACAACAGCTCCACAGAGCCCAAACAAGTCCTCACCCAAAGGCCTCCATCCCTCTCTCCAGGAATCCTCCGAAAACCCAGAAGCTTGGCCCTAGCCCTATAACTAAAAGCCGCTTACAGCGAACCCCAGAAAGTTGGAACATGGATTCAGGAGGATTAGTGCTAGGATCCCTTATGCTTTACCTTCAGGGTACCAGAAGAATGATGTTCCAACTTTCTGGCTCCCACTGTATGTATTATTCACTTGCTGAAGGCATTTGCCGACCCATCGCAGATGGGGGTCTAGGCTTCGATCTTCGTCAGAACAGCTTCGCAGGCCGATGTGCTCGCAATTTTATACGGGTCTGTAGGAGTTTAGGGTTTAGGGGATTTTACGGGTTTAAGGCTTAGGGGATTCTAGGGGTTTAGACGGTCCAGGAGTTCAGGGTTTGGAGGGGATTTCACAGCTTCTGGAGATTCTAAATTAAAGCTTGGGGTTTAGGGTTTAGGGTTTAGGGTTTAGGTATAGGCCAGTCGTTGCACTTGTCTACATGAATCTACCCGGGCTTTTGCTGTACTGCACACGGTTTCTTGTACTTGACATGGCCTCTGGGACAAATCAATACCTATAGTCTCCATTGTAGTTCCTTTTTGGGTTTAACCAATTATATAGTAAGGATTTTATAACCTATAGTCTCCATTGTAGTTCCTTTTTTGGGTTTAGCCAATTATATAGTAAGGATTTTATAAGGTATCCCCCCAAAAGGAACTTCAATGGAGACTACAGGTATACATCGATTCTGTAGATTATGCACGTGTAAAGTGT